CCCAGGGCCCGGGAAGGACAGGAGCTCCCGGAGGCAGCCCTCTACCCCAGGCACACCTCCGCTCCTCGCCAGGAGAAGCAGCTCATGGGTGGCAGTCGGTGCTCGCCCAGGGTGTGGTGTCCAGTGGAAATCAGACCCCAAAGTCCTGTGCGGTTATGACAATGTGACAGCATGTTCCGTGGACCCAGGGCTGTCCGGGGTGCCGCATGTGTGTCCGTGTCTACATCTGAGTCTGCATTCCCGTCTACACTTGTATCACATCTGTCCACGCAGGTGGGTGCCCAGGCTCTGTTTCCTCACTCCCTTGAGAGGGGAGAACGGTAACCCCCCACCATACACTGCACCATGTGACAAGACTCAGTCCGGCCCTCGGAGGGTCAGGGTCTGGAGAGCCCGCCCCAAGCCCTGGCCCTCCCAGTGGTGGAGCAGGGCTGACTGACTTTTCTCCAGGACGTCTCACACATCCAAATACCTGTAGGAGAGTCTCACCTGAAGCCAGTGTCACACACACTCGTTAGCCGTTTGCAGGCCTCTGTGGCCCAGAGGTGACATGGGCGGTGCTGAGGTGACTCGCGAGAATGGGGCAGAGGGAGCCCGAGACCTGCACGTCTGAGCAAGCTGAGGAACCGGCCGCTCTCTGGTTCACACAACTGGCCCGACTCCCGCGGCCCTTGGCCCAGGGCAGACAGATGGGCCCTAGTGTGTGGCACGGAGCACCAGAGGGAGCTGGCAGAGGAGTGACGCTGCCCAGAGGTGGGGAACGCTCTTGTCGGGAATGGAAGCATGAATGGGGGTCTCCCTGGAGGTCGGTACTGGGAGGACCTGGCAGGGTGGACGAGGCCGGGGGCACGGAAGACGGCAAGTCTTGATGTGCAGAGCCTGCCGGGGGCTCCACGGGCATCCTTCCGGGAGGGCAGTGGCTCAGGAGAGCCCTGGACGCTGCTCTGCAGGTGGCAGGGGCAGGGGGCTGTGAGCTGAAAGCTGAGTTGGAGGGATCGGGGACTCCTCGAGCCCTGGCCCGGGGCCCAGAGGCCCTCACGGCCACCCCGATGTCACTGGGACTCCCCACTCCAGGTAGCTGGGCTCCTAGGCTTCACGTTGCCTGCATGTGACCGTGTGTTGGCTCTGGGTTTGGTCTGCACGGCCTTCGATGCGTTAGAGCCCTTGCTGGGGACAGGTGAACACGTGGGCGGCATGTGGGCCTGCTCTGGGTCCTCCCCTGCCCCTCGAGGTTCCAACCCTCGTGTCTGCATCCGGCAGAGCGTAGACGCTCCTGCTGAGCCTGTCACTCTAGGGGTGCAGGGCCAGCCTGTTTCCTGCCCCGGACACACCGCCCAGATGGGAGGGCCTGTTTGACGGCTCGGTTCTCGTGGCCACGGAGCAGAACCAGTGAATGTTGCTCTTCCTCGTTCCCGCAGCATTTGGTAAGCAGGGCGGGGTCCAAGTTCCTGGTTCTCGCACGACCCCTGTTGCCCCCGCTGGCCAGGCCTTCCGCCTGCTCTGGGTCCTCTGCATGGTCTGCAAGCTCCCGGTGGGTGGCGTCCCCGGAGCGGCTGCCTAGTGACCCTCCACTGAGACACACGCCGCGTCCCAGCGCTCTCTCAGATCTGCCCTGGGGGGGCCCCCTGCGCCAGGCCCGGCAGCAGCTCCGGGGACAAGTCGGGTGCAGCGGCTGAAAATCCTCCCTTGGTGGGGCCCCGTCTTCCAGGACACGCCCTCTCCTCCGTCTTCCGTCGCTCTTCCAGAGGCCTTCCTTGTGGACATGCGTTTGGGTATTAAGTTCTTAACGTCTGTTATTTGCCCTGTGCTGGGCCCTGCTCTGAGCAGTTCATGTGCGCTGTCTTGGGGCGTCTGTGGCGACCCCCACAGCACTGTCCCAGGGAAGCTGGGATGCCGACCCCCACAGGGTCAGGACTCTGCTCGCACCCTGGCCCACACCCATCCCCACTGCCCGACGTCCCCTCAACCTAGAATGCTCTTAGACCCTAGCCTCGTCTGTCCTGCCAGACACATGCCTGGTGGACAGACCCCGTGGGTCCCCGAGAGCACACGGCTGGCAGCTAATGAATGAAGGTGGCTCCCTCCAGGCCATCAGACTGAGCTCTGCATCCTGGCCCTCCCCAACCCCCTCACCCACCCCCACCCCGTGTGCTGCCCAGGGCTCATCCTGGCTGCAGAGGGGGTGGGGGCAGCCTGACACTTCCCCTCCTCTTCCTTCCCAGCCTCCTCCGCCTGCCCCTACCCCTCACCCCGCACTCTCTTTTGATCTCGAGAAGCCAGGCCCTTGGAGAAATCAGACAGTATGAAATATGAAAAGTGCTTGGGAAGTAATTGAAGAAACACTGTGACTTTTGAAACCCGTGGAGATAACACTCGCACCTTCTTGCTCACGTTATTTAATTTTTAATGGCAGATTTAATTAATGGAGATCAGGTCTTCTGGTTTCAGCCGTTCAGTCGGAGCAGCTGGAGGAGGAGGAGGGGCAGCTGCTCACGGGGTGGAGGGAAGGGCTCAAAATGGGGGTCTGAAGTGTAGTGGGAAGAGAAATCGCCAGGTGCCAGCTAACCCGCAGGGATTCGGTGCCTTGCCTCAGAGCAGGACCCCGGGCAGCAGGCCCTGGCAGCTCCTTCATTTGCAAGTAACAACCCCCCTTTGCCCGTGGCCAAGGTGGAGGCTTTCCGGCTGCGGGACACCCTCTCCAGCCCTCCGCACTGCAATTGGGAGTCTGAGGCAGGTGCGTTGTCTCAGGACCCTGGCACCAGGGGGGGCTCCTCGTGAGGGTGGGTGCCCCCCACGTCCTTCCAGAAGCCCCTCCCCTCAGTGGAGTCTGGGGAGGGCCCTGCTCTCGCTGGCAGAGGGCTCAGAGTGCCCTCAGCAGCCCAGGAAGGCCGGGTGGACACAGGGAGCTGCTCCGCTCCCGGGCGGAGACCTGACTTCTGTGTGCAGGGGATGCTGAGGCGCCGTCCTCCTCCTGTTCAGCAGATCAGACGTGGGGCGGGAGGGGAGTTCCCATGAGTCATGCTGAGATGGTAGGGGAAGCTCAGAGGGTTGTCACAACCACTGCTTGGCCGGTGGGCACTTCCTGTGACAAGCCTAGCTGACCACATGTTCAGTCTGAGGTCACGGTCAACTCAGCCACTGACCAAGTTCACCCGTGCATGGAGACGCAGGGTCAGAGCGTCCCGGTGCTCCCTTGAAAGCGGGCGTGGTTGGCGTGGGGGGCCTGGAAGGGGCTGGACTCTCCTCCCAGGAGGGAGGCCTGAGCCGGAGGCTGTCTGTTGCGGGGAGAGCCACATCCTAACGGTGGTCAGGCCCGCCCCCTCGGTGCCCAGTGAGCAGGGAGACAGGGCTCGGGGAGGAAATGACCCAGTGAACTCAGACGTGGGTGTGTGGGTACCACCTGGGCCCAGGGTGGAGCCTGTCGCGAGGTCAGGAGGGCGTCTGCCTGCACGGGGCAGAGGGGCAGCGTGACCTGCATCCTCATCCTCCAGGGGCCTGGGTATTGGTCCACTGTCCACTGGCTGAGGCAGATTCAGGGTCCAGGGAGATGACGAGCTGGGTGTTGGTCTCGTGAAGCTCGGGTGGTGGGGCGAGGGGGAGCCCCCATTCACTCCGCACCTGTGGTCCTGGAGTGTTCGCAGTGCCCGGCGACCACTGGGGGCATTGGCTGTCTCCCCAGGTCAGAGGTAAAGAACCGAACTGGGGAGATGCAGGGTGACCTCACTCAGCAGCTGGGGCCAGAGGCGGGCAGCAGGGTCACTCCAGCAGGGCCCGGAGCAGAATTCCCACCCCTCATGAGCCTGAGCTCTCGGGGCCCCGTCCACGTCTGTCCCAGCTGGCTCTTCCCGGAGGCCTGGTCCCCTCCGGGCCAGCCCCCGCCTTTGATGCCCTGCATGGCTCTGGGCACCGGTCACTCTTTCTGGTCTGAGTGGTGTGTTCCTTCTGGCCAGGCTACCTGTGTGCTTGGTGGAGTGGGGAGAGCTAGGCTTGGGGGTGCGGGGGTCCCTTTGCCTGCCTCACCAGCTACTCTTGGGGACCAGCTGTCCACGCCCCAGGGAGCACCTGGAGCCAGACGCCTGCTTTTGCCCACCTGTAAAGTGGGGACCGGCCCTCCCACACTGCTGTGGGCAGGTCTGGCCCAGGTCCTCGCAGGGTGGGCAGCCCCACGAGACGTCTTGCTGGGCAGTCCGAGGCCAGCCCTGTCTCCGGCTTCATTCTCAAGACCACGTCCTGTGAGAAGCCGGGTCTGCTGGGAAGCCTGACGGGGCTGGGGCTGGGGCCGCTGCTCTTTCTGCTGGTCTCCTCTGGAGACTGGGAGGGCTAGGGGCTGGGCCCAGGTGGCCTTGGGGCGCAAAGAGGTGGTGGGACTGACCAGAGGGACGCCTCTCTCTCATGCTGCCCCCTCCACACCGCCCGGGCCCTGGGCACTTCCACTGGGTGGCCTCGGAAGGAAGGACATGTGTGCCTCTGGGATGGCCCAGCAGTGCTGCTGAGTGCGTGGTCCCAGCTGGAGCCAGACGCCTGGGCTGCGGTCCTGGCACCGCCGCCTGCTGTGTGACTTGGACGAATGGCTGCACGTCTCTGGGCAGCAGTCCACCTGCCGTAGGGGCTGGACCAGGAGGAGGCTCAGCAGACTTCTTTAAAGGTAGTAAATGCCTTAGGCCACACGGGCAGCACAGCCTGTCCACGCTGTGGTGCACAGGAACAGCCACAGATGGTGCATTCACGGGTCGTGGCCGTGGCTGTATGCTAGTAAAGCTTTATCTACAAGACGGGGTGGGTGGGACCCCTGAGTGCAGGGCCTGCGTGTCCTTCCAGCCGTGGCTTCTGAGGATTCTGCAGCCATGGTGGGTCCCCGAGGAGCTGGGCCCTCACTGTGGACCAGTCGCCCTCTGTGTGGTGCTGCCCGGGGGCTGGGCCTCTGTGGGTTCAGCGGGGCTGCACCCGGAAGGGAGGGAGGGAGGTTCAGCCTGGTAACTGGTTCTGTTTTCTCTTCGTAGAACGTCGAGACGTACAGGCTGTCTTCACAGCAGTTCCACGAGGCAGCTTCGAAAATGGAAGGCGCCATCAAGTAAGAGCAGCTTCCTTGTGAGCTTAGCCCGTGTGTGTGAAACTCCCCCACGCGCTTCAAACCTGTCACCTCGAGCCTGGCGTTACGTCCCTAGTAACACAGACGCTGTCTGTTCGCCCAGGGTCTGAGGCCGCCCTGTGCTGGCTGTGACTGGCCGGTGAGCAGACCTGCCCTCTGCCTGGGGGGCGGGGTCTTGGGGCTTGAGGTCGGCTGAGCCGTTCAGGCCTGTGTCCTGCGAGCTGGGCCGGGTGCTGCCCTCGGGGCCCCAGGGAGGCAGGAAGTGTTGCTGCGCACCCCCCACCCTTGGAGGGGCTTCCAGAGTGGCCTGTCCCCCTGTGGGCTCCTCTGCGTGCCTGGGCCTGAGCCCCGCAGTCTGCACAGATGCCCAGGTGGCCCCGAGGAGTACCCTGTCGTCTGCGTGCTCCCGTGCTGGAGGGGAGGCCTCGGAGCCACAACGGCGGAAATGAGGGTGCAGGCCTTGGGAAGGCCTGCGGGGTCCCTGTTGTGCGGTTGTCTCCTGGGACCCGCAGACCTCCGGAGATACCCTGGGTCTCCACAGCTCCCTGTCCCCCCAGGGCTGAATTGGGGTGAGTCCCCAGAATCCAGTCACCGTGCAGAGTGGGGCAGGGGAGGGCCCGCCACCTTGAGGGGACACTCACAGAGGTTCGGGGGCTTTGGCTGCTGAGGAAAGCCATGTGGGGAGCAGGGGGGCACATCTAGTCATACCTGGCATGGCAGGGACCTCCTGGGGACATACACGGACGCTGGTGCAGCCGACTGAAGGGTGGGTGTAGGGAGGAGAGCCCCTCCTGCGGCTTAGGGCCTGGGGTGGGGCAGACACTCGGAGGAGGGCTTTCCAGCGAGCGGCAGAGATGCCTGTGGGACCCTCGGAGCCCAGAAGCGAGTGGGCACGGGGGCTGCGTGGACCCTGAGCGCCGATCATTCCAGCTGCAGGTCCCCTGCAGACAAGGTCCTGCCCGGCTCATCGGGGCTGAGAAACACTCAGAGTTGCAGTGAGTGGGAGAGGCTGGGTGACAGCCCCCGGGAACATGACCCGGAGAGGCGAGGGGGACCGCGTGGGAGGCGAGGGGAAGGTTCCACATGCTACAGCCGCCTGGACGACTGCTGCCCCGACCAGTGTCGCTGGGCGGTCGGGGCCCAGGGCACTTCCACTCTGCCCCTCGTTTACTGCCGGTGGTCCTGTGTCACATTCTGAGAACGGAGGCCGGAGAGGCTGGCTAGCTCCCTCGGCTGTCCAGTCTCACACCTGGCACCTGCAGGCCATTCCTCAGACGCCGCTCTGCACGTGAGGGGGCGGCAGATCAGGTCGGAGGTAAGGGCCTGCAGACCTGGATTGGACCTCAGCCCTGCCTCTCGCTGGTTCTGCGCCTTGAGCAAGTCACACGGCCTCTGGGCTTCTCTCGTCTGCCCTTGAGATGCACGTGGAGGGTGGACCTAGGACGTCAGCAGCTGCTGCCGGGGCTCAGCATTCATTTACTTTGTCATCACCTTCATCACCTGCTGGCAGGACGACGAACAGACTTAGTACATAAATTGAGTTTACTGAGAAAACATGTCTTTTCCCAGACAGAGCAAACAAGAGGCAGAGTTAGAAGTGTCTTACTTAAGCCCTAGGGTGGGGTGGAGTCTTTCTTAGGGAGAGTTCTTGGGTTTGCAAATAACGGTCAATTGCATCGTAAATACCTCCGTGGAAGTAAACGCAGCTGCCGGCAGTGGTCACGCTGGGGAGTTTTCTTCTGAGACTGGGCGTCTTTTAGCAACTCAGAGTCAGCAGAGCAGTTTCTTAGGTGGTTGACCAGATGCCCTTGCGTTTCTCCTGCGTCCACCAGGCACTGTGCCTGGCACTGGAGATAGGACGACAGGACAGCTTCCCGTCCTGCCAGCAAGGAGCTTACGGCATTTGGGGATAACAGACCACATCTTAAAATTAATTGCACCAAAAGCAGTTGCCCAGTGACTGATGGACAGTGGCGGTAGTGAGCCATGAAAGACAGACCTCCTGAGAGAAGGCGCCCTGACCCAGACCTGTGTCCAGAGGCTCCTCTTAAATTGACTCCACAGAGGAGTCGGCCCGGAGGGGAGACAGAGAGAGAGAGAGAGCATGTCAAAGGAAGGTCAGCAGGTGCAAAGGCCCTGGGGCAGGGAGTAACTGGCATATTCAAGGGATTGGAAGCCTGCAGGGCTGGAGAGGAGGGCATGAGAAGTCGCAGGAGCCAGACTGCGAGGACTGTCGTACACAGAGATTCTGCTTGTGAGCCAAGAGCAGTGAGATGCCATTTCAGCTGCGTTCTTTCCTGACACATGCATTTAAGGTAGTGATTTCTCTATAAACACAGCTTTTGTTACGCCCTGCAAGTTTTGATCTATTGTGCTTTCATTATAATTCAGCTCGCGATCTTTCTAATTTTCATACTGATTTCTTCTTTGACTCATAGGTTATCACACAATGTATTGCTGAATTTCCAAACATTGGTAATTTTCTGGTTGCCTCTTGAATCATTGATTTCTGGTTTAATTCTGTGACGAGAGAACTCACTCTAAATCCTGTAAACTTTTGAGTCGTGCCGTGTGACCCAGTGGCTGGTGTGCGTGCAGCTGCCGTGTGCCTGCAGCAGCGTGCCGTGTTCTGTCGGGCGCACGTCCTGTGTGTCCCCAGGTTGGGCTGGGCAGCCGTGTTCAGACCCTCTGGATCGTTGCTGATGTGCAGATCTGTGGTTCTTCCTGAGATCACTTCCTTCCATCTAAAGAACTTCTGGTGCTTCTCTTGCTGTGGTTTGCTGATTACAGGCTGTCTGGAGGTGCCTTCACTTTTGAAGACACAGCAGCCCTTTCCTTGGGCTTTTTCAAGGAGTCTCTGCACTCCACTGGACATCTGATCCCCGCAAAAGTCAGCGTCGGTGTTACTCTGATTCTTTTGTGGTTCTCTCTCTTTTTCTCTGTCTGATTTTCAGATTTTCCCTTTGTCTTTGTTTTTTTTTAGCAGACTCTGGAGTGTCCGGGTTGAAGTTTTCTTTCCTTTTTCCTGCTTGAGGTCTGTGCCTTGGGGTCCTTTGGTGAGTTTTAGAAATGTTTCAGCTATTCTCTCTTCAGATTAAACCCTGTTTTGCCCTCCGTGGAGCGGCAGCCCCGCATTACAGCTCACGTGTCTCTGCGCTGTCTCTTCCGCTTCCTCAGTTTCTCCAGCTCCGTGCTGTGACCTGAGCTGTGTGTACCGACCTTTCACTTCCCTGATCCTCTGCCTTAAACCTATTCATGAATTCAGAATTTCAGTTACTGCGTTTTCTTCAGTTCTAGAAGGTCACTTCACTTCTTCTCCCCCGGTCTCAGGTGAGAGTCTGGGTTTTGCATCTAAATTCTTGAACATATTGATTGTAGTTATTCTGAAGTCATCTGCAGGTCTGTGTCTGTGGCCTGTTTCTTCCCCTTGGTCCTGTTTTGTTCTGTGCCTGGTGATTCTCGGTTGGATGCCAGACATCGCGGAGGAAGGACGGAGGCGCTGAGGGTGTCGCAGGCACTCGCCTGCCCCCGAGGCGCTAGGCGGAGGCATCACCTCAAGCGCTGCGGTCTGAGCTGACTTTGGCAGCAGAGCTCTGGCTGCTTCTGATGCGCCCCATCCTCAGGGTCCAGGCCCCCCTCCATGGTGAGCTCTAGGCCCCTGTTTTTGCTTCCTCAACTCTGTGGAGCTTCTGAAAACTCCAGTCTCCTTTCAGTGGCTTTTTACCAAGTTCTTAGTTTTTTACCTGGAGGCTTCTTGAGCTCAGGGATCTGGAAAATGCCTTAAAAGAGGAGGACAACCGAGTTCCTCACTACATTGTAGCTCCCTCCTCCCAGGGTCCTGGTCCCTCAAGTCCAGCTGCCTCAGCAGCTCAGGCCCCAAAGCAGTTTGTGTCCCCGTCCTGGGAGAACGTCCTGAGAGGCCCAGAAGCCCTGGAGCAGAGGCTGTCTCCCAGCACCAGGAATCGCGAGAACTCTGGGGGCAGTGGCCCCTGCATGGGCACTCACCTCCAAGTTCCCTTCTCGCCACGACCTTGGCCCTCAGGTCCTGCTTTGTCGTGTCCTCAGTAGCCTTCAAACAGACTTTTAAATCCCAACTTTTAAATTTTTTTCTCGAAGGAGAGCGTGGTTCTTCCACAAGCCACGCCCCAGTGGGGCGACGGAGGTGGAGTTTGCCAAGCAGACACCGGTTGCATCGACGGCGTTAGACGCTGCTGGACGGGCAACTCTCCCAACCTCCCTTGGGCCACCGAGCTTTCCTGCGTGTCCTCAGGTTTCAGGAAACACCTGCTGAGGGCGGTGGGAGCTGGTGACTGAGGAGGAGCCTGTGCGCGAGGCCGACGTCCACACGCATGCAGCCACACGCACCCACACGCACACACACACACACACGAGCACACGCAGACATGCACACGCACACACACACACCCTTCACCTCATAACAGCACAGAAAGCGAATTGCTCAGATTCCCTGAAGGGAGGGATCAAGACACCAGGGGGCATCCTGCATTTATTGTCACATCTATTTTTTTATGACGACCTCCGTCCTCTTCCCAGGGGATTCATTCCGACCTGTCTCGGCTCCTCCCCGTCAGGAAACTTGTTCAGCCCCCCAGCCCCACGGAGAACAGCCCTCAGAGAGGTTGGAACAATTGAGCTGAAGGAAGGTTATTAAGCATTTCCTGGAGCTGAGTCGTTGTCTCTGAGGACCACGATCCGAGAGGCCTGATGAGGGAGGTCAGGGCCGCTGGCTGGAGGGCCTGGCTTCAGGCGCACGAGCTTCCCCAGCCTGCGCCTACCAGGGGCCTAGTGGTGAGGCTGACCACCCGTCAGGACAACGGCCGTGCGTTCGAGCCCCAGAGGAGACGGCATTCCAAACGTTCTCTAACGCAGAAAACACTCACGTCGCCCTGAATTCAAAAGGTGCTTCACCACCCCCGTCCGTGTCTCAACTAACCTTTCAAAAGAAGCATTTTCTATTCAGA